CAGTTTTTCCATGAAGAATGTCATCGACCACGACAGTTTACCATCTCGAGTGGGGCTGTACCCAGTGGCAACCGCAGAATCTCAGATGGACACCATTCTTTGTTTAGCGACCTCGATCCTCTACAGTTGTGGTTTCAGGATCCACACGACTCCAAACTATTCTCAGAGGTGCTGCAATGTTCAGGGACTTTACCACCACCACATCATCAACAGAGCTCCATTGGAACTCGTGAGACATTATATGGCACTAGCTTGTCCCGCTCTGGCTTTGCAGATTTTACTGACAGACAGATGTATATCCCTATGACTGATGGTGGCCATCAAGCTCATGATCATACACCCTTAAGGGGTGTTTATGCATTACCCGATGTACCTCGACATCAGAACAATGATGTTGTACTTCCTGTGCCACCCCAAGGAATTTTTTTGCCAGGATTCCACCAATGCTTCGAACTCTTTTACTTTGCAGCCAACGGTGGATTTTCCAACAGTTATTCACACGCGTGAGATCGTCATCGATGCGACAGATCTACGACAATTCAATGACAGATCCTTGCTTTTCGATATTAGAAAGATGACTCCACGACCATTCCACAGCGTTACAGATCTAGGAGCTGTACTTGATCCGGCCATGACGATACAAGACATTCTCCGAACTCCAATACAGGATCTACTACAGGCAACTTCATCTAGTGGGGCTGTACCCGTAAACGACCTCTCACATGCCGCAACATTCCGAGGATGGGGCCAGGCCATCTATGTCGGGGGGCATCCTGCGTGGGGACGATGTGAAATCATACATATGGCGCCAAACCCACCATTTGCAGAGCGATGTGCCGCAGCCACACAAGACAATGGATGGTGGGCCTCTGATGAAGCACTATGGTTCCTGCGTCTACTTCAGACATGGAGGTCCGATATTACTATCGGGCCACTTATTCAGTGGAGCCCCAGCCGAGATCTCCAGCATTTGATGGCAGCGGAAGATCAGCTCCAATGCAATAATGGATATCTAAATATCCTCCTATTTCTGGTAGAAGCACACTGGTGTGCAGTCGAGGTTGATCGCCGCACCGAACCGGTTCATGTGGTTCTCATTCAGTGGCCCCAGGAACATCATACCATGGTTATCCTGGAGGTTTCTCGAATTCTGCAGATTCCCACCAACAGAATGCTGGTTACAATTGATACTACTCACGAAGTAGTTACCATGTGCGGATGGACTATTTTGTTCCGATGGTATACCAATTTCGCTATGCAGACATGTCTTCAACCGCTAATCCATGCTACGGAACAGACTCAAGCTCGGATCGATAGCGTCTTAAACCGAGCGCAACGACACTGGAATCGCACCAATGCACCCAGTTGTCTCCGTAATTTTGCCGAAGAGTGTCGTCGTGCCTTCATGTCCGCTTATGCTCGTGATCAACCCGATACACGACTGCCTGAGGTCGTTTCGACGGTTATGTTCGTGGGTCCACAAGAAGAGTATGTCCAAGAGGTTAACCAGGTGCCAAGACCACCCACGAACAGAGAACGGGAGATCAACTGGTTACGTACTATGCTCATCCAGCCTGCCTGGCTCACCAACTTCGAAGTTGAACTCATACTCCAGATGACAAGAATGCAGATTCTTGATAGATTTTTGCCAGGTCCACTTCATTTCGATCCTGTCACCGGCCAGCTAGAACCTTTCGTTAATGATCTCCCCAGTGTGGCTGGGTATACTAAGGTGCTTTTCTTTGTGACGCTCAACTACCACTGGATT